ATCGAAATCGTGCTCCCAGATACCACGGACGGTATACCCCATATCCTCCAAAGTCAAAGTCCTTCTGAGGGTTTCTTCGTGTAATTGCTGGTAAGTATATTGGGTCCGGTGAGGATGAGTTTCGGTCTGTAAACTGGGATAGCAGGTGGGGCATCCGTGCCAATAGCACCCGTAAAATTCGTAGACGGTGCGAGTCGCTTCCTGGTATCCGTCGACGGTATAATTTCCGATCTGGACTTCGCCCCCGTTTCTGGCATGTTGTATGTGACATCCGGTCTGTTTACTCATCCAGGTGAGCCACCGACAGGCTTTAGCCGAATATTGTCGTGCCGGTTGATACCCGAGGTTCGGAATGATGGCAATGGTGTCTTCAGGCATGAATTGTCGACGGTAGGCTAAATTAGCAGCACTGGCAAAAGTGATGGATTCCTGGAAAGGGTCCACGTTGACCAAACTCTTGAGGGTGGATTTAAACTTTGCACAGCATCGACGTAAAATGTCGACGTCCGAGACACAATACTCTACAAACTCTTTCTGGAAATCAAACACTTTCCCCCTCTGTTGTTCGTACCATTCATAAAAAGCCCGTCGTCCTCTGATAGACATTTCGTCCGGATTGTAGAAAGCTGCCGGTGGATAAGGTCCTACGTAATTCTGGTTCTGTTCCGTATTAAAAAAGTGAGGGAAATAACCTTTCTTCAATTCGTCGAATCCGAAAGCGGAGGGCATCTTAGCTAATGCAAATGGTAAGAAACTATAGGAGTCGATGAATTTCAGTCCGCATATTTCCATGTACAAGATCTTACTGCCGTTCATGATGACGTTAGGTTTCAGGCAAGAGGAATGCACCAGGTGATTCAAAATGAACTGTCCGTCGTAGCCTTTGAAGTTATGGGCGATGACGATGGCCTCGTCGTGTACTAAAGTGGAATTCTTAGTACCTGTAGTGGGTTGTAATAACCAGACCATGAACTTCTTTAAGGTGTCTGGTCCTTGAAATAGGTGCTGACGGGGTCCCATGTGTTGACAATGAGGACAGGGTTGGTCTATGGGTAAGTGACCGCAATGTTGACAGACGCGGTGTGCCACACATAGATTAGGGATGTGAATGCCGGTTTCCTGAGTGCATTCGAAATCGAAATAGATGTAAAACTGTAAGGTGTCTTTCCCCTTCTTCTTCTTCTTCTGGGGCTTCTGTTGTACGTAGCACTGATGATCGGTATCGACGATTTTCTTACAGATCTTACACTGTTTCTGTCCTCCGCATTTGTGATGAGGGAATAAATTCTTAGGTATCCAGGAATGACACTTCTCGCATAGCCCCATTAAATTGCAGACAGTAGTGGTGGTCTTCTTACTATGGGGTTTTAAATGATTTTCGTAGCAGGTCCTGTTCTTAAACATTCCATGGCATTCCTGGCATTTAATCTCGATCCCTTCATCGGGACATTTAGGGTGTTGTCCTAAACAATAGGGACAGCGATGAGGGCACTTGGAGCGATGGTCTGTGACCTTCCTGTACCCCACGTCGCAATGATCACAGTAATATTGGTTCCCCGTTACTCCCGGCATCGATAGGATGGCATCGTAATGATGGTCGTCGAACAATATGTTCAAACAAGTTCCGTCTCCCCAGCCTTTGAAGATGCGCTCTAAGGTGAGTTTAGTCGAAGTAGACTTGAACTGAAATATTTTCAGTCGATACTGAGGAGCTAATACCTGTTGTAATTTCGTCCACTCTGCAGATCCACAAGCTTGAGTGATATCACACTCGGCCTGTTCCATGAGGGCTATGGCCTCTCGTTTCTGGTCCAAGGATTGCCTATCTCCTAATCTCATGCGTTTCCATTGTTTTTCCCATTCGGGGTCTGGATGTTCGGGTTTTTGACTGTGTAATCGAGTGACGACGATGGCTCTAGCTAAACAAAATTTATCCCAGGGATTGACGATCTTTTATTGTTTTTGAAAGTCTCCTTATTCACTTGTAAATGTTTGGTTCTGTCTCCACCACTTCCCTCGGGATACTTGACCCGAAACATATCAAATTCCATGCCCCCGTCGCCCAGTTTGAACCCTTTTCTGGATTGTTGCACGGCTTCAATCTTGTCTAAAATGACGTCCTCGTTAAAATGTTTACATTGGGTAAACTCGTACTAAATCTCTGATTCCAGAGATTTGTGGCGTATGTTCAGGCGGAGGTAATCGTTAGGATTACACTGCATTTTCGATTTGAAAGTTTGTAACATGTGTCTGAATAATCGCCGAACGAATCCTCTGTTTTCTTCCTCTGGAAACTCTTTAAAAATCACAGTGTAAAAATCCTCTTGAGCTTTAAATTTTCTAGAGTGCACCCTTTCATTCACTGTGACTCGATAATACTGGGATATGGCCTTGGGTTTGGGTGGTGAATGAATAGGTAACTTTGACCCCTCATGCGCCCTTGTCCTTTGCTGTTGCTGTCGTTGTTTTTCTAGTTGAGCTCTTCTCTGTAATAGTCTGGCATTTCTTTTCCGAAGCTTTAATTCTCGCTCTTTATTTTCATCAAGAATTTGATCTAATTCTCTCTCCCGTAGTTGTCGTTGTCGTTGTTGTTGTTGTTGTTGTTGTTGTTGTTCTAATTGAGCTCTTCTCTGTAATATTTTAGCATTTTTTTCCCGGAGCTTTAACTCTTGCTCTCTTTTCTCATAAAGAATTCGTTCTAATTCTCTTTCCCTTTTTTCCATTTTAATAATCGCTGAGCATGTAACTGTTTTTCTCTTGTAGATTCCATGACCCCCCAGGCAGGGAGCTGGATCTGACAGTAGAATGGCCTGAAAGTCGGAGAAAACCTGTATTTATACAGTGGATGACGTCACAATGCATAGGTAAGCACATTTACACGGCCCTAAACAAACTTGAATCGCTGCCAAGTATTTACCTGTGTAGTCAGCATAAAAAAACGTAGGTAAAACGTATTTTTTTTGCACACGGCCCACAGCAGGTATATAAACCAGCGCTGAACATTGACGTTCACACTTCGTTAGCATTCTGAATTTGACACAGGTAAAAATATGGCAGAAGAAAATACAAAGGAGAACGTACCAGAAACACAGGATCCTTTAGATGTAGATGAAAGAAGTTTGATGTGCCTTCTCCTAAATAAAAAGAGAGAAGCGCTGAGAAAGATTTGTGATCTAGGAATGGAGATAAACCAGTTAGAGAAAGAAGTGGTGGAAATGATTCGCCATGTAAATAAGGAGATGGACCAGTTAGAGAAAGAGATTAGAGATCTAGGAAGGGAAGCAGACCTAGAAGAAATGATCAGTATCATACAGGGATTAAAAGAAGTGATGAAAGAGATTCGTGATTTAGGAAGGGAAGCAGACCAGAAGAAAAAATAAAGAAGAGTCCAGCCACAAGAGGAAAATTATGTATATATTTTAATTCTGAATAAAATTGCTGTGTTCTTTGTTATTGTGTGTTATTTGTTATTGTTTTGAGGAAATCCAGTTTGAACCGGCTGGCTGGCTAGACCGTCTAGACTGTGAATGAATGCGTGACGTCATAATGACATTCTTTTGAATCGCTGCCAAATTCGTAGTAGCAGCGTATAGAGTATAATGTAAACACAGTGTAAACACAGCCCCGTATTTAGGGGGCTCTATGTACTGAATTGAACCGGCTATCCCCCACAGGGGCTGCACTCCCTTGACCCGCCTATCCCCCCACAGGGGCTGCACTCCCTTGACCCAGCTATCCCCCCAGGGGCTGCACTCGCTTGACCCGGCTATCCCCCCCAGCCCCAAAAGTGCACTCAGTTGACCCAGCCATCTAGGCTGCTTATACTACTGGTGCCCGTTTTACAAAAGAACATACGACTAAGACCAAAAACTTCAGATGATTCTAAAATTTTGCAAAATGAATAATTCTCTTTAAAATTGTTTGTGTAATAATATCTTGCCACATTCCTTTTAAAAAGTTTAAAATAATTTTCGATATAATTTTTATTAAAAAGTTATATGAAGAATTAAATTTGGTCTTAAGTCGTAAGTCCTTTTGTAAAACGGGCCACTGACGTATGTTTGTACGCAAAAACGTCCACATCATTTTAGGGAAAAAGGAGAAAGGGAGAGGCAGGCGAAATTTTTATGCTCTGAAATCATTTTGCAATAAATAGATACTTTTAAAAATAAAAGAAAATGTCTAGAAACAATTTAATAAACGATACATAATAACTGAAAATCAACAGAATCAGTTTTAGGGGGAAATATGATAATATAGACATCTCTATTTCTGAAATCATTGATTTTCCTTTAATCTGGTTTACGTATTGCTGATTTTTTTTTCTAAGTGCATTACACTCATATATACATGTACCACTCCAACCGATTAATTTATTATCATATTTATTTGTCTCTCCAAAAGTCTAAAATTGTTTTAAGTGGGCTCTTCATATTACATAAAAAACGATATGTACAATGTATTGGGCATATCCTTTCTCATTTTAGAGTGTTTGTCCATATTTTGTACGAAAACAAAACAGACCTCGAAAATATGGGTGCATAACAAACTTAAAAGTGTAAGGAGGGTTGAATATGCTCATCGAAATTCAATAACTGTCGGTGGCATCGCCCTCTGGATCCTCATCAGGGCTTAATCACAGACCCATTGGGGACATTAGGCCCCCAAACCCCCTGTCTACTCTTTGCGTCCACATCAAAAGTGAATGGCCTGGCTACGCCACTGCAGCCGGACTCTATCTACACTTTTTTAAACATGGTTTTTCTTGCCTGAAAGTGTCAGGATCTTTATTTTAACAACTTTTAAGTATATTTAAAGAAGATTCAAAATTTAAAAAAATTATTTTACATTTAACAATTCGGAAGACAAGCCCCTATGGATAAAATATCACAAAATTTAAACAGTTTACTGTAATTCTTCGATAAGAACAACCTTCAGTTCGCTTTCTGTTTTGGTTTCTTTTCTTATTTTTTTTTTCTGAAGATCACGTTATTCCCATTTTGATCGGGCTCGGCATCCATTTTCTCTTTATTTCTACATCCGGAGTAAAAGCACTCGGCGTCAACACTGTGAACACATTGTTTTGCCGATCGTTAAAGCTTTACACTGCAAAAGATCCATACAAATGATGAGGTAAAGTTGTGTTTATGCATTGAATTGTACATTTTCATTACGTACTCTTAAATACGTAAACATGGTAAACTGTAAAATGCACTAGTTTGAATTAAGTCAGTACATAAGCCTCTGAATTTTTATCAATAAGCCGTTATATGCTTGATTAGAGTGCCCCCCTCTATATATAAATACATCAGGATATATATAGAGGGGGTATATATATCACTCTCTCTATTCAAGCATATAAAGGCTTATTGATAGAAATTCAGAGGCCTGTCAGTGTGGCTGTGGCCAGTAAGTGACAAATTGAAATCTTTCACAGATCTCAAAAGCAAATTTTGTAAACAATATTGGACTTTTGTCTTGAATATTCTTGTGATGATGTTGCCTGATATGGTCAGAATTTTCATTTCCACATTTACATCTTTATGATCATCACACATGGAACTTAATAAAAACATAGATGTGTTAATTGGCAGGAAATATCAATATAGTATAGAATTACAAATATAATCGCTAAATGTTTCTTGAAAGGAACCAAAGCATCATCATTTGAAAAATAAATTGCTTAAATTAAAATTTTAAGATTGGTACACACAGGGGATTTTAGAGTTTCCTTTCAATGTGGTCATGTCTATTTGATTGCTCACTTATTTTTACCTCTAGGAACATGAGAGGACGAGGGGGACCAATGAGGGGAGGAATGATGAGACCGATGTCCCCTATGGGAGGCCCCTTTAAACCTGGACCTCCGTAAGTGATTGGATGCTTTTTAAAAATATCACACAAAAATAAAATGTTTTAAGTTTAATGAATAAAATATTCAAACTTGGCCTTTGATAAATGCCTCACTAAAATGTATTTCCATTTAGAAATGATGTTTGAATCAATTGAGCATTTTTCTGGGAAGATAAATATTTTGATACTTCTAACCTGTATACATAATATTTTTAATAATATGTGTGGCTAATTGTATTCGGCGCGCTCGCGCAACAGATTTTGTTTATAAAATTTATCGCTTATACAGCATCGGGCTCGATATCTTCTACTAATCAAAGTACTGAAAGTACTGATAGTTGTTGATTTAAATTGTTACACACTTTTTTCACAACTATTCAAGTTATGTTTATTTATGCTCCATAAGGAAGTTTGTTAGAATTAAATAAAGAGAAAATGACACGATTGTACAGAGTCGAAAAGGTAAGGTTTGCTTTTATCTCACCATAACCTAAGAATGATATGCCAGAAAGCATAAGACTTTTTCTCTGTTCATTTTTTTCAATAAATTAATAAGGTATTTTTCTGACTAAAAGTTTGTTTAAAAGGGCTATTTATAACAAAGTCATTTCTGTAACTATAGTTTCTCCCCCATCCTCAGATCTCTAATAAAGACAAGTTAATTCTTAGTAGTAATATTATTTAAAAATGTAACAAGGAATATTTTTTAAACACTGATACCAATATATGGCAGCTTTTACCCATGAAAATCAAGTCTTTAAAAAGGAGTTTAGAGTCTAGAGTCCAGGGGCATAACGTAATACTAATAAATTTTAATTTGTTGCATTGGCGTCGGAAGCAAATTGAAAGGGGGGGGGGGTAAGTGAAAGAAAAAAAATTCGAACCTGAAAAATCTTAACAAGCAAAAAGAAAAATGTATCTATTGTCCAACACGAAAATCCTATTTCGTAGGGAGGGGGGGTTGAACTTCTTTAAATACCATATTTTTGTTCTTTCAAACACTACCACTTAGCCTTCTTCGACTACACTGCAACGTGCCTGTTGAAAATGGGGGCTAAACCTATGCCCCAATGTTTAATATGATGTGCCCAGGCCTGTGTGTTAAACATAAAATAAATTTATAAAAACCAAAGCACTCAATATTTTTAGATGCTATAGTTAAAGTTTGGAAAGATATACAGTGGACCTTCAGATATCCGGATGCTTCAGTATCCAGAAGATTTTTCATCGGAACAGAATTTTCTAACGATATTTTGTCTTGTTTAAATGGTGATTCAGGTATCCGGTCGCTTCACATATCCGGACAAAATGACTAGCAACCAAAGCGTCTGGATAAATGAGGCTCCACTGTATACGAGAGAGAGAGAAATCAAAAGTAGGTCAATTCCAAAATGGGTGAATTTCGGATTACTCTTGCATAAATTGTGGTAAGGCATGCATGGATCAAAGGGGACCCGGATCCCTGGAAATTTCAAATTTATTTAAACTGATTCAGTAAAGCTAAAGCTATGCCTCGGACCCTCTTCCCCTTGCGATTTGAGCCACCAACTCCAAGGGAAATTTTTCTGCATCCACCTAACAAAGAAATACAATCGGGCTCGAGCTGTCGACTTCATTATAAGCGATAACGCTTAAATTATACAGAAAATCCCTGTCATTTGAGTGTTTTAATGCTGGGAGAAAATACGTTTGTGATATTGGGATGAGATGGACGCGCTTGTGCGCCGACGCGCTGAATACAATTAGCCATATGTGTCATGTTCAATGCTTCTTGTCGCAAAATGGAGGTGTTGTCAGTTGTGAATCCACTTCATTGCATTAAATAAAAGAAAGTACTATTCTTTAACAGGTTCCGGGCCTTCATTCCTCACATACCATTTGATTTGGTTCAGGTAAATCATGATTATCTGATAATATGTCTTTTTTTTCTTTTTTACATAATTTTGGCTTCCATATTTCCTTATTTGACTAAGGCTGTCAAAATTTAATTCCCTGGTTCTAAGGCCAATTTTCTCCAAAACAGATGCGGGAGGGCGGCATTTTATTTTTCATTTTATTGGCAATAAAGTAGATGAGGGAGGTATTTTTTTTATATTTTAATTTCCAAATTTTCTTTAACATAAAGATAATTTTTTTAATCACAGATATACTTTCCATTTCGGTCAAAATTTCTGCTTTATCCATTGATTAACACCGTGTAAACATCGTAGGTAATGTCCTCGAATGTATTTTCAAACGAAGTAGCCAAAATCTCATTGTAAATGGCTACCGGAAGTGATATTTGAATACTAAACTAGGAAACAAATGAGGTCGGAATTTTTTTTCCCGGATTGGTCTCCGCAATACCAACTTTTTATCAAAAAATACAAAAAAATCGGCAATGCTGCTACCTCAAAACGGATGCGCGCGGGCCTGAGAACCAAGATTTCAATTTTATATGGCCTAATGTCCCAGTGCAGCATTTCTTATTTACATTTTTATCATCTTTTGCAGTGTGAATCAACATTTCCAAGGACCAAACCCACTCCTGATGAGAAAGTTTTTACAGATGTTAGTATTCATTGTTTCTTTACGTTGGATTCTCTACATTGTAATATGTTTTACGGTGTGACCGTTGGGGCGAGCGCACTTGCACCATGAAAAACACTCTAAAAACTGATTAGCCACTTCAAACATCAAGCCGCACGAGACATCTCGACTAGCTGTGACGTCACAGATGTCACGGAGCTCGTCGGAGCTTACGGAGACAGCCGAGCGTCTGTTTGAAGCTATAGACCCAGTGCAATTTTGGTTGAAAAACATTGTAGAGTTATTTTTTGTTTTTTGAAATATTTCTACAAACTGATCTAGCCCTTTATGCTTTACGTTATTATTTATTTATTTATTTATTTGCGCAAAGGACATTGGGTAGTGCAGGAATTCTGGGAATGTTTCACAGAGAAATTTGGCTGATGTATGTACAGATTTTAATCCGAATTTCCTCTGTTCTTACACGTTAGTCTACTGAGCTTGCTGCACTCGCTATAAAAAGACATTAAACTACAGTAACTTGAAATACTGGGATAAATAACAAAACAGTGTTCTACAATAAATACAGTCAAGTCTATTGTCTATAACTTATATGACATGAAGTACTAAATTGTCATTCAAATTTTGTTTAAGATTAAACTTAAACTCCTCTTCAACACATTGCCAGTACTAGTATATCTGTATTCATTGTATAGGTGGATGGGGCTACTGATGTTAATCTATCCACTAATGCAGATATTTTGTTATTTGTCTGTATCTTGTTTCTTATTATAGGTATATAGGGATACTGATGTTAATCTATTCAGATATTTTGCTATCTGTATATATTTATATAAAAACAATGACCTGACACTATATCATGGAGGCATTCTAGTAAATCTGTTTTCATCCTACAGGTGTTAGGGATACTAATGTTGCAGATATTTCATTATTTATCTTTTTTCACAGTGTCTACTAAAGAGGAACAATGACCTGACCCCCTCGTCACAGGAGCAGGCCTCAATCCTGGCCCTGGTCACCAAAATACAGGGAGTGATGGACAGTCTGGTGCTGGCTCCCACCTCCTTTGATCCCGCAGTAAGTAACTTCCTAATTTCAACCTGTGGTCAGTAACTTCCTTGTTGGATCTTTTAGGCTATAAAAAAATATTATCTTGGTTCTCAGGTCCTCCCTCATCTCTTTTAAGGGTGCCTCATTGACCCTTTTTATTGCTAAATCAATAAAATAAAAACAACAAAGCTCCTCCTTCATCATTTTCTTAGGTTTTGTACAATGTAAAAAGCTGCCTCATCAGTTTTGGGGGCAATAAAAAGTGAAAAAAAAATGCCTCCCTCCCTCATCATATTTCTTGAAAAAAGGCCTGAGAACCAAGGAATTAATTTTACATGGCCTTAAATGTATGTTTTTGTACCTCTACTAAAATTTAGATCATTAGTTGTTAATACTTTCCTAGATTTCTATTCCCCTTGACCAAGACTATTTCCCTCGACTCTACCTCGGGAAATAGTCTTGGGGAACTGGAATCTTGACTGCTAACTCTCTCAGTGATATAATTTAATTGTATATTTATTTTTGAATGTAAGATGAAAGACTTCATGTAAAAGTTTCCTTCAAAGAAAAAAGATGTAGAAAAGTTAAATATGATAGAAACTTAACTATACATGGGTAAGAAGTGGATTTTAAGGAATCAACTTAATCAAATACACTAAAGATTAAGCTAAAATAGATGAATCTCCCTCCATTGACAAATATAAGATACAGAGACTCTGAGTTAGTTTCTGTGTTTTCTTAGTATTAGATTTAAAATGTATATAATATTTTTTTTATGAAATATTGCTCCAGATTCGTCTCAAGTCTGGCGTACATGCCTCTAAGGACATTTATGTGGTAAATCAAGCGTCTTTGTTTTATTCTGTGTAACACAAGTTCTGTAAAATTGTTATATTTATGCTTTATACATAATTTATTCAAATTATCAAGTTACTTAATTTTTTATGCAAAGATTTGTTACTACAAATTGACAGATTTCACAAATTGGATATTATTTACCACATCTGAGAGTTCATTGTCAATGCATTTATTTTCTTCACATTTAATGTTTGGTCATTTTATTTTTAAATTTTGGTAAATCAATGTGAACAAATTTTTGGAATGCTTTAAACACTAAATGAAAAATGTTCCAGATAGATTTTAAACATAAATGATTCATATACCGGTAGGTCCAAATGCAAATATTAAAGATATTAATAACATTTTTAGGATCCTAGGAAATTTAAGCTGTTGTTGTACAGTTAGTGAAATTTGTAATGTTGAAGGATTGAAATCTTGTTATTTTATATTAGTGTTTTTATTACCGTATATACTCGCCTATAAGTCGGTCCGCCTATAAGTCGGTTGTATTTTAGAAGTTCATTTTAGAAAGATTGACCTTCTATAATACCAGTCTTTTTGTATCTCGCCTATAAGTCGGACATAGAGTTTTGGACCAAATTTTAACTCCCAAAAAACCGACTTATAGGCGAGTATATACGGTACTTATGAACATGATGAAATAAGTAAAAGCTTGTGGTTTTTAATTTCAATTGAAAATTCTATCTTCATGTCATTAGATGTTTAGTGAGATTCAAAGATATTGAAGATAAAGGGAGAGAAATGGATTGACTGTTTAATTTTTAGCCGTGCTTATTGCTCAAAGAGCAAATTGCCGGCTTATGTGATCCTGTTCAAGGCAGGATGTTGACCCCATAGTCGCCATTTTAAAGTTACGTGCAAAAATATAATTCTTACTCTCAACCGCTTTTGAGATAATATAAACGCTACATAAAGCAACAAAAATAAAACGAAGTTTTATCTATATAAAATAAACAGTAGTAGTAATGACTTTGAAAACTTCATAAGTCAAAGAACATAGTTCATTAGCATAAGGATTTTTGATAATCAGTGTTACCGTAGTTCTCTGCACATACGAGGTAAAGCAGGAGAGGGAACCAGACTGGCCTGTTTGTTTACATTCAGCTGCGGTACCAGATTAATTCTGATTCTGACAAAATCGGACCGTGATATTAGGATTGAAAAACTCACTTTCAGTGTCTTATCATTTATATTGATAGTTTTAAAATAATTTTTTCATCAGAATATAAACGTGATTCATGTAAGAAATCCATTCTACTCTGTAAATGAGCCCGGCTCTCCGTACATTCTGAGTACTTTGATTTTTTTATTTCAAAGAATTCCTATTTTGTGTCATTAGACTTCTTGAAAATGTTTAATTTTTTTTTTCATTATTTTGACCTGTTGAAAATTTATTTTCAGAATTTTTTGGGAGTAACAACCCCGCCATAAATGCTTTTATGCATATACTGCATCTATTTGTGAACAGTTTTTTTTTTTATAAGAAATAAAAAAGATGAGAGAGAGAGAAAAAAGTAGAGAAATAAGAGAGTTATTATCTTAGAATAAACAAATATGTTTTAAGTGTCACATTATGGTTTTTTTTTTTTTTACACATATACTGTAGAATTCCAATATAATATTTCAAGTATCATCACAAATGAATAGGTTTATTCTGGAGGTCAAAACCACTTATCAAAGTATTTTAGTCTTACTATATTTGAACCCTTTATATCTCAAAGTTTTTCTCAATCCCATCGACATTTGAGATAACAAGGTTTGAATTTTAATGATTTTTATGACCAGGATTTAAAATTTGTTTTTTGTTTTTTTTCAGCAAATAGAGGAGGTGAGACAGGTTGGGTCGTTTAAGAAAGGCACCATGATGGCGGGAAACAATGTAGCTGATATCGTAGTCATGCTGAAAACTCTACCCACAAGTATGTATGGTGATTTGTTAAGTGTTAGGCTAGTAGGAATTGTGCGTACTACTTTAATGTTTATGGGTTGAATGCTCATTCAGTTATCTTGGGGATTAAAAGTCTAAAAAAAAATTTTAAGTTTATATTACTGTTTGTTCTAGACATATGCTATTACTACAGGGATTTTCCACTGCCCCGTGTAGGGCCGAATATAGGCCCCATTCTCAAATGCAAAATCACTCCATTTTTCCCAAAAATGAACAGCCTGTGTTTAATTTTTGAAAAATTCATGTAAATCAAACATGGTCATGTTTGAACTCTTACTGAATGAACATAATTTTGGAGACTTTGCTAAAACTTTATGATAATAGATCTGTTTTCTGAAGTAAAGTTCTGAAAATATGAAGTAAAAAGTCAATTTTAACTATCATAAGTCACTGGTAAAGTGTTTATTCATTGAAATACATCTTACTATAAAATTTCCCAAAAAGTTGTAAAATTGAAAGGGCCTGGGCCCCTTTCTTAAAATTGGGTGGAAAATACCTGATTACCAATCTGTATGTTTTATCCACCTTCTAACCCATTATAGTTGTATATATAGACCAGTAAACTGTCATCATGAATTTATTTTATTTTTTTTTTGCAAAATAGCATAAAATTAAAAACGAGCAAGTTTAGTTATAGACAGTTAAATACAGATTGGTTTAAAAATGTGTCTAGAATTAGGGAGTGAAAGGTAGTCGATTGACAAATAATGAAAATTGGAGAAATTCTCCCCAACAGTGTGCAGAAAATTTTCCGCCGCGAATTGTATCTTAATATTTGGAAAAAGAAAAATCAATTTTTAAGTCGGACAGGGTTTTTAGCCGGGCTTATTGCTCAAAGAGCAATTGCCGGCTTATGTGATCCTGTTCAAGGCAGGATGTTGACCCCATAGTCGCCATTTTAAAGTTACGTGCAAAAATATAATTCTTACTCTCAACCGCTTTTGAGATAATACAAACGCTAAATAAAGAAACAAAAATAAAACGAAGTTTTATATATATAAAATAAACATTAGTAGTAATGACTTTGAAAACTTCATAAGTCAAAGAACATAGTTCATTAGCGTAAGGATTTTTGATAATCAGTGTTACCGTAGTTCTCGACACATACGAGGTAAAGCAGGAGAGGGAACCAGACTGGCCTATTTGTTTACATTTAGCTGCGGTACCAGATTAATTCTGATTCTGACAAAATCGGACCGTGGTATTAGGATTGAAAAACTCATTGACAGTGTCTTATCATTTATATTGATAGTTTTAAAATAAGTTTTTCATCAGAATATAAACGTGATTCATGTAAGAAATCCATTCTACTCTGTAAATGAGCCCGGCTCACTGTACTTCTGAGTACTTTGATTTTTTTACTGATGTGGAAAGAAAGAATATTAAGCTTTCTTAATAATGTGTTTATTTTTTATTTTCAACAGAGGAGGCTGTAGCAGTTCTGGGAAATAAGATTGTAGAGGATCTCCGGACACAGGACCCTGACGAAGGTACCACAATTGTATAATAAAATCTTAATATCATCTCCTAATCATTGGGACCAAGATTAAACTTTAAAAGATTCAATGAATTGAGATACCCAGGATAATATAAAAAAAATATATATATCGTAAGTCTGGAAATTTTTACGTCAGATTTTATTTTGCGAATTCAGGTCAAAAGGGTGTTGATTAATTTTTACGTTTCAAAATTTTGCAAATTACCACTGCTTTGTTTACATTTTCTTATTGGTAATTTATTTTTAAGAAAAATATTTTTGTGAATGCAGTGAACTCGCAAATTTGCAAAAGAAATTTCTACAGCAAAAATTTCCAGATTTACGGTAGAATATTGTTTGGGACAACTGACTTACTTTAACATATCACTGGTATTTGAGAGACATGTAATGGTGTTAGAGGTAAGTTCCAAAGTGACTGTACAATTTTGTACATAAGCATAGAAACTGTGTATTTTCTCTTAGATCATTTCAATAACAGGAAATTGAAAACATTCTTTTAAATTATGAATAAAAAAATATTTCTCAAAGTATATTATTTAAAAAAAATTAATTAAAATTTTGTTTTCAGTGTTAACTATGCTGACCAATGACACAGGATTTGAGATCAGTTCATCAGACGCCACAGTTAAATGTCTGATCACCACTATCCCGCCTAACCTGAAGAAACTAGACCCAGAGTTACACTGTAAGTATAGGTCTCAAATGTACTCACAAGTATTCCTACAAATCTAAGGAAACTGGACTCAGAATTAAACTGTAAGTATAGCCCAAAATCTCAAATGTGTGTCACAAATATTCCCCCAATCCTAAGAAACTTGACACAGATTTACATTTTAAGTACCGGTATGGCCTTACTATACTTTGCACTCTAGAGTTTTTTAAAAATTCAATGATATTTTTTAATTTATGGATTTAGAGTTATCTGCCCTTAGAGCAGAAATAAAAAAAAAGTGTATCACTCAATTTATACTGATTTTATCTAATCTCAAAATGTTTATAGCCCAAGATATTTTTATTTTATTGAACACTCTATACACTTTCACTACCTATTAAATAAACATCAGTGATTTGTGTCTATATGTCTTAAGTTCTCTTTCCTTGACCGTGTAGTGGATGGGAAGGTCATGCAGAGTCACCTGGCAGGAATCCGTCATGCTCGCTGGTTTGAGGAGAATGCATTCCATTCAAGGTAGCCATTTCTGTGTAATTTTTTTAACATACAATAAAAAATTATTGCTATGGGAAATGAGCTCAAATAGGTGTGGTTCTCTTAGTGACTATCTGTATATATTAGTAATATTCTCACTTCTGTGTATAATATAATTCAGTTCAACCTTCTGTCATGTATTTGATGTGCAAAATTTATTCATGATATTGGAAAGAACATTTCATGAGAAGCTAAAATTTCCTTGTAATGAAATTAGGAGCAAGAAAACATTTTTTTCAGGTTCTACATGCTTTTATGTGTGCAGAATTAATCTTCCAGTTTACATTTTCATTCATGTATTTTTTTCTATTGTAGTATCAAAGTCCTGATTCGATTAATGAGAGATCTTAAGAATAGATTTAAAGGATTTGAACCTCTGACCTCATGGATCATTGATCTGTTGGTAAGGTTGTTCAATCTTGATACTTAAACTGACCAATATTGATTATGAAAGTTTATATAAATGAATAATATTTTTCAAGGTTTTTCATAAAAAAAAGAAAATGGTCAATATCCTTTGAATTTGCAAACAAAGCATTAATCCTATTTAGTTTGTGAAGCTATTTAAACTATCAATTATAATATTGTTATAAGAATGGAATTTTTTTTTATTCAGTCTCACTATGCTATCATGAACAATCCCACAAGACAGCCCCTTCCCATCAATGTAGCTTTCAAGTAAGTAGAGTCTTTTTTTTTTAAACACTGAGAGCATTATACTGTATAAAGGTGTAAATATAGAACTTATGTACAATCATACTACATTATCTCGAACCAAGATATCTGATGTATTAGAGATATGGAAATTCAGGATACCAAAGTTCAGCTGTATTTAGTTTTCAAAATAGAGTAACTGGCATTTATCCCCCCCCCTTCCCCCAATTTACCCCCATAAATATTGTTCAGAGACAATGAAGTATTGTGAACAATTTAATGAAAGGTTTTTACTAGGAGTGAAGCGGTTCACCGCAGTATCGGTTCACTGCAATATTTTTTCTCGATTTGATACACGGTACAAAATCTCTACTTTCGGTTCGGTTCGTTTTTCGGTCGGGATCGTCATTCAGTCAGGTTTGGCATAAGGTTTAAACATGCTTTTCTGTACAATTAGTTAAAAAACTGCATTTTTGTAGACTTGAAGTTTGTAAAATAATTTTTAACAGTCAAATCAATTAAATTGATTTATTCTATCCATTTTGCACATACATTAATTGACTTAATTAAGTAAAAGAAGCATAAAACAACAGTTGACTTTGTTTCCTTCTATCAAAATGTATCTTATTGAAAATAACTGAACCAAGACCAAATTTTACAATACATATCCAACCGTGAAGGAGGCGTATCGTTTCACTCCTAGTTTTTACTTAAATGGAGAAAGTGCATGCAAATAAAGTGTTAATTTATTTCATAATGGCTATTAAATTGCCTAAAATGCCTGAGTTTATAACAGATCGAGTAGATTTAAATCCACTTTATTGTAGAACAAATGGTAGATTACTCTATAATGATTACATAAAAATGCCACAGAATCAGAACTTTTTACTGTCAAGTTTATAAAGGTTCAGAAACCTTTATAAACTTGACAGTAGAAAAAAAAGTACAGGAAGTACATAATTGATATACACATATTGCATGTAGAAACTGTGCCATGTAATGTATCTGAGATAATTTGTTCAACTATACAGGAGATGTCTACAGTTGCTGGCTGCGGGATTTTTCCTGCCGGGATCGGTCGGGATCACGGATCCCTGTGAACAAGGAACAGTTCGAGTCCACACAGTGATGACTCTGGAACAACAGGTTAGTACAGGAAGTGATGTAATAGACTGATCAGCACGGTATGTACAGGAAGTGATGTAATAGACTGATCAGCGCGGTATGTACAGGCAGTAGATTGTGAATTGGTGTGAGGAAGTTATACCTATATACAGGGTCAAAGTATAAATCGATGTAGGATATTTCCTTGTTATTCATAAAGTGTATGGCAGTTGGTAAAAGCAATAAGGAAAGGTTTAGCTATACTAGTGGAAGTTGTTGTTTATGTAGAACACTGTGTATGTGTATACCTGGATGTTAAATACTTTGTGTTTGATTGAGCATTTTAAATGTTAACTTTAGAATGGTTAAAATCTGTAGAGGGAAGCAACTCTGAGAAGCTACATATTTTATTTATTTTACAATATATGTACATGTATGTCATCTAAGTGATCTTATAAGTCAACTGAAAAAAAATATTTAAGGAATAACTGTCTTAAATTACTATTTCATGATGTGTTCAATCAATTGGCTTGTGTGATAATTTGCATAAACACAGAAAGGTGTTTATGCATAAAATTATCAGGCAAGCCAATCGTATGATCATTGTCATGAAATAACAAAATCTGACAGTTATTCCTTATATTTACATGCTCTGGATTCTGCCAATCTACGTGCTACAAGCCCCGATTTAGTCTCTATTTGTCCCGCCCTGCATGTAATTTTTTTTTAACCGCGCCTATCGATGAACCAGTGCATTGATGAGGAAATAAAGTACATTGACTATTTATAATTTTATCTCGGACAAAGACATTGGAAATGTAAATATATGTAAATTAAAATAGGACATCTTGAAGCTAATTAAGTAACAGTATATTTTACAAGCCATATATCTGATAGTTTGAATTTGCAAAAATTGCTATCTTTCAAAAAAATAACACTCTGAATGTCATATCTTTAATTTTGCAATCTGTATGAAAGAAAAAAGTGCAACATAAAAAATACGCACACACACAATCTGACAAATAACAGATCTATTGATAAGCTCTAAAATTCTCATAGTCACTGTACAGGTACTACCAGAAATTTTGAGCAAATCAAAAATCTGATTTTACTCATATTAAGCCTGCAAAAGTTCTGAATCATAATATTTTCTCCCTTTATTATACTTCCCTCCTTTCTCCTTGATTTTTCCACTCCATCCCTCCCTTTCATTTATTAGCTCACCTGAGCCGAAGGCTCAAGTGAGCTTTTCTGATCAAAATTTGTCCGTCGTCTGTCGTCGTCGTTGTTGTCGTCGTAAACTTTTCACATTTTCATCTTCTTCTCAAGAACCACTGGGCCAATTTCAACCAAACTTGGCACAAAGTATCCTTGGGTGAAGGGAATTCAAGTTTGTTCAAATGAAGGGCCACGCCCTTTTCCAAGGGGAGATAATCATGAATTTGTTAAAAATAAATGGCATTTTAAAAAAATCTTCTCCAGAACCGCTGGGCCAGGAAAAATGAAACTCATGTGAAATCATCCTCAGGTAGTGTAGATTTAAGTTTGTTCAAATCATGACCCCCGGGGCAAGGGTGGGGCCAAAATGGCCGACCCAAGTTTTACATACGAATATACAGGAAAAATCTTTAAAAATCTTCTTCTCCAGAATCACTGGGCAAGAAAAAATGAAACTCATGTGGAATCATCCTCAGGTAGTGCAAATTCAAGTTTGTTCAAATCATGCCACCCGGGGCAAGGGTGGGGCCAAAATGGCCGACCCAAGTTTTACATAGGAATATATAGGAAAAATCTTTAAAAATCTTCTTCTCCAGAATCACTGGGCCAGGAAAGATGAAACTCATGTGGAATCATCCTCAGGTAGGGTAGATTCAAGTTTGTTCAAATCATGCCCCCCGGGGCAAGGGTTGGGCCAAAATGGCCGACCCAAGTTTTACATACGAATATACAGGAAAAATCTTTAAAAATCTTCTTCTCCAGAATCACTGGGTAAGAAAAAATGAAACTCATGTGGAATCATCCTCAGGTAGTGCAAATTCAAGTTTGTTCAAATCATGCCACCCGGGGCAAGGGTGGGGCCAAAATGGCCGACCCAAGTTTTACATAGGAATATATAGGAAAAATCTTTAAAAATCTTCTTCTCCAGAATCACTGGGCCAGGAAAGATGAAACTCATGTGGAATCATCCTCAGGTAGGGTAGATTCAAGTTTGTTCAAATCATGCCCCCCGAGGCAAGGGTTGGGCCAAAATGGCCGACCCAAGTTTTACATACGAATATATAAGAAAAATCTTTAAAAATCTTCTTCTCCAGAACCACTGGGCAAGAAAAAATGAAACTCATGTGGAATCATCCTCAGGTAGTGCAAATTCAAGTTTGTTCAAATCATGCCACCCGGGGCAAGGGTGGGGCCAAAATGGCCGACCCAAGTTTTACATAGGAATATATAGGAAAAATCTTTAAAAATCTTCTTCTCCAGAATCACTGGGCCAGGAAAGATGAAACTCATGTGGAATCATCCTCAGGTAGGGTAGATTCAAGTTTGTTCAAATCATGCCCCCCGGGGCAAGGGTTGGGCCAAAATGGCCGACCCAAGTTTTACATATTAGGAATATATAAGAAAAATCTTTAAAAATCTTCTTCTCCAGAACCACTGGGCTAGGAAAGATGAAACTCATGTGGAATCATCCTCAGGTAGTGTAGATTCAAGTTTGTTCAAATCATGCCCCCCGGGGCAAGGGTGGGGCCAAAATGGCCGACCCAAGTTTTACATAGGAATATAAGAAAAATCCTTAAAAATCTTCTTCTCCAGAACCACTGGGCCAGGAAAGATGAAACTCGTGGAATCATCCTCAGGTAGTGTAGATTCAAGTTTGATCAAATCATGCCCCCCGGGGCAAGGGTGGGGCCAAAATGGCCGACCCAAGTTTTACAAAGGGATATATAGGGAAACCTTTTAAAATCTTCTTTTCAAGTACTTCAAAGCTATGATTAGTGATATTTATATGGAATCATCCTCAGGTAGTGTAGATTCTAGTTTGTTCAAATAATGAACGCCTGGGGGGGGGAGTAAATTCAAGCCTGATGTGCTCAGGTGAGCGCTGTGGCCCCTGGGCCTCTTGTTTTGTGATACTATGACCCCTTGATATGGTATATATGAAAGGTTGGAAATGAGTGGAGAATACATAATGTAGTTATCTTTCTATGTACAGGATATGGTGTGCTTCACAGCTCAGACTTTACTTCGAGTGTTAACACATGGAGGATTTAAACAGATCTTAGGCATGGAAGGAAATTCTAGTAAGTAAAAAAAAATATCCATAAATGTAAATGCTGCAGGTTCTCATGAAGTGTTTTGAATCTTGTTAAAAAAAAGACTAAGAAGCTCACATTATTTTTGATATTTTTATTCAAAATGAAATTCTATCAATCAACTAGTTTTGAGAGTAAATACAAAGGAATCAGCGAATCGATATGTTGATAGTCATGGCTTGTGGGGATACACATGGCTAAAAGATGTAAAATGTGGAAATATCTTTGGAGATTTTTGTGAGGGTGGGGGGGGGGGGCAGCTTTACATTATGCTTCATCTGATTTACTATAGAAGGATTTTTCTCCTTTTTTTGTTACAAAATGTAAAATGTAGTAGTATGTTTGGAAATTTTTTGGGAAGGGGGGGAGCTTTACATTATAGGTTATCTGAACTACTGTTGATGGATTTCTGTACCTCCACACAGGTATAGCGACAGAGATGAGTGTGTGGGAGGGGGTGGTTGTGACGCCGTCAGACAAGGCGTACGAGAAACCCGAAAAACGGGAGGGAGAGGAAGACGATGAAGATGGTGACATGGAAACGCAATGATCACCATGAAAACACCATGTTCTACATGTAAGAGTTTTCAATTTCTCTTGTTAAATGGTATTATCTTTATGCAAGAATTTTGTATTAGTATTTTAAATAAATTTCTGTTCTGCAGAATTTCAAACAAGATAATAATGTCATGCATTCTATAGAGTACATGTAAATATTTACTGCTACTAAAATTGCATACTTGACTTTATTGCTCATGCAAAGTTGGCTAAACGGGCTATAATTATTATTGATATGAATTAATAATTTCATGTTTCTGTTAATAATCATAAATTTACAGGATGGTCCAAGAGCAATAGAATTTGTGCGGCAGTGACAGAATTGTGGCTGATGTTTCACTTACAAAAGTGGTTAAAGCCAGTGGATCATTAGTGTGTTATACATTGTTCTGTTGAAACTGAGAGTTCGAAAGGACAGAACCAAAGGAATAAACAAATGGACATGTTAATTTAGAGGAGAGAGAGTGTGTGTGAGAGAGAGAGAGAGAGACTATTGATTAAATGCCATATTTGTATGTTTTACTTTGTTTTCATCTTATATTGTGACTGTATTGTTTAGTAGTATGTTGTTGAAATTTCAATTTTAGAAGGAAATTGAAAATTCATTCTCTTAGCTTATTATTACGAAATAGAATTTTTTATCTTTTCTTTATGACTTGAATGTTATTCATGCATTTGTGGGATATTGCAAGAGCAAGGCAGCAAATATGTATGTAGAAATCCTATTAAAATATAACAGAAAATACAATGTATACTAAGATCAATTATGTAGTGAGTTTATTATTTTTT